CTAATTCTAAAGGCGAAGCTTAATTTGTGTTTAAATATTCATTTCGAATAAGGATATTGTTTTGGGTATTTAAATACGATTTATTGTGAGGCACTCAAGAGAGGTTGCGAGATGACATTAGAGCCTTGATTAATGAATTAAACAGAATTGATTAGCGATTACATAATAGGATAAACATAGGAATAATAAAGCGAAATCAAGTCCCTAGACCATTTGTGTATAGATACTTTATTTTTATTTTCTTATATTTATTTTGTTTAGTTCTAAATCATCATCTTATTAGGTTGCCTAGATAAAGTTAAGTTACAATAATCGCAGTACTTAACGGCAATTCTAAACCCAATCCCTGTGGAGACGATACTCACTCACCTTATACTCAAAACATGACACCGTACGCTTACGGAAATTTATTATACAAAAATATTACGCATCAAGTTTTTGGCACCGTTGTCGGGGATTGACGTTTTAAATTGTTGTTAATACTGTGAGTACATAACTTGATTTTAATTTAGGCTTTTATTTCTCATTTTTAATCTTTGATTTTATTTTTTTTCTTTTGTGTTACGAGGTACTTGGAGATGGTTGATCGACAAGTCCTCTTAAGATTTGCTCAACGAGACTTCGAGCCATTTTTTAGTGCTTGGGAAAGATACAAGAAGCAGCTCATTCAGTTTCCCGACCATGGTTTCCCGAGGGAGGTGCAACTACAAATTTTCCTCGACGGGTTAGATGCCGCAACAAGAATGTGGGTGGAAAGAGGAAATGGTACCACCTCTTTTCACCAACTATCCGCGGATGAAGCTTATTGGTTGTTGGAAGACATGGCCGATGTTAACTATCGGTATGGAAGGTATTCAACAAACCACCACGGTTTTGAGGATAGCTCTAACATTTCGGAGCCATGGCTTGACACCCCCCGTCACCAAGCGGAGTCTTCTACCTCACTTGAAGACCTTGTCGCCCAATTTTCAGAGGAGACAAGACTCCGCATAGAGAAGTTAGAGAGGATGGAGGCGCTCGACTAACTTCACGAGGAAATGAAGACAAATCTAGCGGAGATGTTTAGGTTGAAGCTGCATCCAGATGAATATACTAACGTCATGAATGGAGAAACACGAGAAGAGGATTGGGAGTTATTTAAAGATGACTCTTTGAGAGAGGAGGAGACTCAAGAATTGGTTAGTAAAGAATTTCAAGAAGATGTCAATGAGTCTCAATCCCTCGAGATCCCCATTGTCGTGCCACCCCCGGTTGAGAAAGATCACATCTATGAAGACCCAATGTGGCCGGCAACTCGCCCACCATCTCGAGCGCCGTTCTTCCACGTCAACCAAGCGCATATGCCGGCGCCGAGTCGAGTTGAGTAAATGAGCCGAAAACTGCC